GAAAAGAATGATAAAAATCGGTAAATAATTAACGAAGTTATGACCATTTTTGCAAATTTGAACGGCTGAATTCAGTTGTGGCGGCGAGAATCACGCTCCTCCGGGTACCCCCACTCCGCCGTTCAGAGGTTGAAAAATGGATACATTTACTTTTACTTGTTATAAATTTAAAAAAAATGCACAAAACCTTATGTTTAATTTTTTTACATAAAATACATGTATCAAACTGTAAGTGGTGCGAATTTCAATAAAAAACATTAATAATTAACTTGTCATGAATTTTTTTTTTAAAAAAAGTTAACTCTCCACCTCTTGAAGTTAGATCGGATTTTTTTTTGGAAAAGTTTTGTGAAAACAAATAAAATCAAATGCCCTTGACACGAAATCGATAAAGTGAAAATTGGCTGAGTTATTCCATTTGTTTATGTCAAAAAAACATACCCTTTTTTAACGTCTATTATTATGCACTTAAATAAAAAAAATCAATTTCCCATTTAAATGGAACTAAAGTTAGACTCCTTAACTGTACTCTCCAAAAAAAAAAAACGAAATTCGCAGGTCCAAAAGTGGGGAAATTCCGTTGAAAAATTATATGTTTTTAGTTAACAAATGGAATTATGCATAAACTATTTACCCGATCAAGTTGAATTTTTTTGGGATTTATTCAGCCTCGCAATGGGAATATTTCTGGGAAGTTAGAAACAAATTCGATAATTATTAACAAAGTTATTAAACAATTAAAAAAGTGCTATTTTTAATGGTTTAAATTCATTTGCAACTAAACTAATTAAGCTTTTTTAACTTGCGACCAATCATTTGAAAGCTATTTCCAAGCTCTATAACTTTCAATCACAACTTTTTCCCCTAAAATTTAACCGGAAGCAACAGTCATCGAAAAACCATGTTTTTCGAACTTTGGCGATTGTTTACACCATTTTTCGCAACCGGAAATGTGGTGCAAACTATGGGGCTTTTATTTGGGGCCCTCAAACTACAAGAAACTGCTTCGACTTTTCAGGTTGCACTTATGTGCACTTTTTGCACTCACCGACTGGCCTATCAGCTAAGATTCTCAACTCTGAGAAAGTGAGATGTTTGAACGCATTTAACATGGCGTGTAAACGTTCAAACATACAAATTTGTTATGTTCACACTAAAAATGATTTAAAATATAATGGTATACAGAAAAAAGTAAGTGTTAAATATCTTGTGTGTTATTTCAAGCTCGTGTTGTAACTTGTGGTGTTATTTTATTAATATACTATAGTGTTGTAGTTGAAATATTCTATAGAGCAAATTATATTTGTTTTTTTAAAAGAAAAATGTCTTTAATAAAGTTAAATAGTACTTTAGTGAAAAATATGCTATTTGTTTACAATAAAATAACACCAATAAAGGAAATTCCTAAAATTACACCAATTGTTGTACTAAAATAACATTACTTTTTTCTGTGTATATTTTCTTTACAAAAATTTCATTACAGAATTCTAGAGAAACCACATTTGAATTACGCATAAAAATATATTCTATAAAATAATTGTTGCAAGCAATTATTTTATACTATTATTATTATTCTTATCCAAAAATACATTAAATATTAAATAAAAAAAAAATTTAATATGGATACAGCGCTGTTTCCAGCGCTGGATCCAGCGTACGTTCTGGTCCCAAATTCCAGTGTTAGTCCCAGCGTAGGATCCAGTTTTAAATCCAGCGCTGGAATCTACGCTGGTTTCGTCGTTCTTTCCACCGTTTGAATAAACGTTGGATACAGCTATGGGACCAACGCTGATTTTTTTGATAGGGTATGTTCATAGGTAGTTTATTTAAAATTGGTAACAAAGGTGGGGAAATGCGTAAAATTAAAGTTAAAGAATTTAACTCATCAATACATTTTCTGATTGATACAGGTGCTGATTGCGTATGTTTACTAAAAGAATTTATACCAGATGAAATTACAACTAATATTGTTAAAACTAAAGAAGTAATTAAAGGGCCTGATAAAAAAACTAGAAGTTTTAGGATCGATCAATTTAACTTTAAATTATAATGATAAAAAAGTAAAACGTTTGGGTTATGTAATAAAAGAACTACCAAAGCCGTTATTTAGTTTACAGGTTAGTGAGGCTTTTGAAATTGTTAAATTCGATAGAGATATACTAAATATAAATGTTACAAAAACGGTACAAAATTCATTTTCAAAAGTCGATGTATTACGTGAATTTCCGGGACTATCAAAAGAATTGGGAGAAATGTCAGGTATTGTTACGTTTATACTAAAATTAATAGTAAAAATAACCGTGGTTTGAACGAGCGATGTACTTTTCGGAAGTCGCTAGCAATTTTCTCGCAAGATGGTAAGTCTTGCGAAAATTATTTGATTGTGAGTTTGTTATTGCTTCAGCTCTATGGGAGCTGTTATGACGTTATTCTCAATTAAGGATAGAAGAAAAGTATAGATTTAGAGTTATAGAAATTTTATTATCAGAATAGGTTAACTATAAAGGTAGGTATACAATGGTTAACTTTATCCAATACTTACAGTTGTTGTATCGTCGTGTATTCGCACAATTACTTAATACTACTTTTAAATGTTTTTATTTAAAAGGCAAAACGTTTTAAAATGAGTTAGAAACGGGATTAGAACGACCCATAACAGTCGAAAACCGTATTCGAACCTAAAAGCTTTACATCAAGACCCTGATTGTTTTTAATACAAAGACTTCTGATAAATACGGAATTCGACGGCACGAATAATTTAACAGACTATATCTTTGGTATAATATAAAAAGGGCATCTGCCTGATGGGACAAATCTTTGGTTACTTCGGTAAGAGAACGGAAGAAAATGACAATTCGGAAGAGGGCTTCCCAGCTTTTATGCAATAGTTCCCACTCGCGGAAAAGGGTCGCAAACCAGTGAGTAGCCAATACGGATGTTTAGAAAAATGTAGGTCGTCTTCCAGACCAATCTGGAGCCGAGCTATTTTAGTTAACCAATCAAACTTAGCCGAACAGGCCCCAGGTTATTGAACCTTGCCCTGAGTGAGGTCACCATGCGTTGGAGATCCCCTTTAGAGTCGTTCTCATATAATACACAAATTCGAAGAATCATTAAGATGTTACATAAGTTGAATTTTGTTATTAATAATTCATACTAATACAACAATTGATTCATGCATAAACATTATCATAATGTTGTTAAATATAATTTTTCTTTATAGGAAAATTTATAATAATGTTCACGCATGAAATTATATAACAATATTAATATAACTGGTTGAAAAGTTTGTCATAAGAATATCTAATTGTTTAAACGATTTCAATTTTAATTTGATGTAATATTAAAATCTTATATAGTGGAATTAATGGGATATACACATAAGGTGACTAATACCTTGAGGTCAACAGGAGTTATTAAGCATTCTTTCGCGTTTCTCTTGTTCTCTGTTGTTATGATACGTTCATATCGCTTAGAGTGTCGAGTGCTTAACACTTCTGTCGTCAACAAGTGCATGCTTGTTTGTATACGGTGCATGTGACAAATATGTTACATTACAATTTGAAAGAAAAGAAAAAGTTACTGCAAACGTAACAGTATAATGGGGTGAAGGAATACGTATATGCGGCGATTTCACTAAAGTAAATAAAGAGATCTTGCGGCTAGATTTTCCTATTTTTAAAGTCGAGTTTATTATGGCGCAGCTGAAAGGAGCAAAATATTTTTAAAAAATCGATGTGACTAGGTTTTCATCACATAAAACTCGATAAAAAAAGCCAGCTTCTGACCACAATTATTACACCGTTTGGACGATTTAAATATAAAAGATTACCTTTTGGGATTACGAGTGCACCTGAATATTTTGTTACCAAGTTTTCAAAAATACTAACGGGAATTAAAAATGTTGTTTACCATATCGATGATGTTTTAGTTTTTGGAAAAACAATTGAGGAACACGATAAAACTTTAAGATTAGTTCTGGGAAAATTAGAAGCAGAGGGATTGCAATTAATAAAAATAAATGTATTTTCGGAACAAAGGAAGTAAAGTATTTGGATCTTGTTTTGACGGTACGTGGTATTAGTGTTCATCCGGATCGTATTAAGCCCATAGTAGATTTTCCAGAGCCTTCAAACAAGACAGAATTGCAAAGATTTTTGGGTATTATAAATTTTACAGACAGATTTATTAAGAACAGATCCCATATTTTAGAGCCTTTATATAGTCTTTTAAAAGAAAACTGTGTATTTTTGTGAGATTCCGATCAAAAGTTGGCTTTCGAAAGAGCGAAGGAAATTCTCACTACCGTGCCAATTTTGTCATTTTTTTATTCAAGCAAAAAGATTGTTATAAGTGCAGATGCTAGCTCTTACGGAACCAGGGCATGTTTATTTCAAGAATCAGATAACTCTTCTCGTGAAATCGTGGCATATACCTCCAGAACTCTGACTTCAACAGAACGAGGTTATGCACAAATCGAAAGGGAGGCTTTGGCTTTGACTGTGGCTGCAGGAAAATTTGAGGAATATGTTTTGGGTTTGCGTATTTGTCTCGAAACCGATCATAAACCGCTTGTACAAATCTTGACAACTAAACATTTGGATGATTTATCTCCACGCTTACAACGTTTTCGACTCCGATTGATGCGATACGATTATGAAGTGAAATATGTTCTGGGAAAATCTTTGATTGTAGCCGATTGTTTGTCTAGAGGTCCTCTGCCATATGAACAGATAACCGAAGAATAAACCTCCGAATCTGATGCGTTTGTAAAATTTATTGTAAAAAGTTTTCCGATTAGGGATGTATATTTAGAAAAAATTGTCAAAGCTCAAGATTCCGATGAAGTGTGTAAACAATTGAAATTTTTTTCTATTGAAGGATGGCCTCTAAGAAAGAAAATGCCCGTAGACCTTTTGCCATATTATCAGTACCGTTTTGAGATAAATTTTTCCGAAAATCTTCTCCTAAAAGGGACAAGAACAATTATACCTTCTTAAATGCAAAGTGAGGTTTTGAAGTTTATACATGCGGGGCATCAAGGCATTGTCAAGTGTCGTAGGAGGGCAAGGGAATCGGTTTGGTGGTTAGGTTTAAGCACAACAATTGAAAAATTGGTACGAGAATGTCCTAATTGTATTGAAGAACGAGTAAATGTGAAAGAAACATTTACAACAGAAGATCCCCCAACAAGACCGTGGCAGAGAATGGCTACGGATTTGTGTTTCTGCAAAAATGTATGGTATTTAATTATTGTAGATTGTTTTTCTAGATATACTGAAATTGCCAAACTAAGTTCTTTGTCTGAGGAGGGAGTGATCGATAAGATTGCCAAATCTAGAGATTTGGCATTTGTGAGGAATTAATTTCAGATAATGGACCTCAATTTAGAGAAAAGTATTCAGTATTTGCAGAAGATTATAAATTTAGACATAACAAGTTCTCCTTATTACAGTCAATCAAATGGGGAGGCCGAAGTAGCAGTTAAAACTGTTAAGTCATTGATTAAAAAAAACGGGAATAATAATGAAATGCTTTCTGAGGCCCTGCTGTCTTTTCGAAGCACTCCCCTTGCAAATGGTTTTTTACCTGCGGAAATGTTAATGAATAGAAAACTGCTTACTAAAGTTACAATCTTACCGAGTAAATTAAAAGGGGATCATAAAATCGATGAAATGTATAAACGAAATTTAGCTATTAAAAACAAAGAAGCGGACAATTATAATAAACGTCATGACGCAAAAGACCTGCCAGAATTAAAAGAAGGGAATGGAGTCTGGATTAGAGATTTAAAAAGGTACGGGAATATAGTAAAAAAACTTAGCCAACCTCGATCTGATTCTGTGGAATCTGATGGTAAAGAATACAGACAAAATAGTAGGTGGCATCTTGTGAGAGCTTCATATAAAGACAAAAGAGAATTTTGTGTAGAACCTCAACCTTTGGAATCTCCGATCCAAACTCTACATCCAGTAGATAATTAAAAAAATTGTAACGAAAACATTGTTGAAATTACGAATCAAAATGGACAACCCAATGATCAAAAAATCTCAATTAGCAATGAATCAACGAGAAAAGTTCTACCGAGCAGGTAACGAAATAAGCCACGATGGTTAAACGATTATATCACTTAAATTTTAATCTTTTATATATAAATTAATTAAAGCTTGTAACTTGAGTAGGGGGATGTAGTGTAAGTGGTGCCATCTAGGAAACTAGAAGGGTACGACGGAATGAGAGGAATGAGCGGAGCATTATTCCGTTGCCTACCTCGAGACAAGCATAACACTTATCACAATAAACTATACATTGATATTAATATCCTTGTAGTGTTTCTTATCCGATTCCTTTTTATCCTAATAACTATTATTATAAACTAGTATCAACTCTACATTTTTTTAAAGTTTTTTATTTTTCAAAATTTATTTTAGTTTTTTTAGTTTTTTGAATTTGTTAAATGTTTTTTTAATTATCAAAACATCGCAACGTACGCACAAGCAATCTTATTCGATGTACTGCTTGCAGTAGTGATATTCTAAATAGAAATGGGTGAAACACAAAGATAATGTGCACCAAACACATTTTATCATTCCTACATTATTGCAGACATCACACTCTGATGCACAGTTTTAATAGCAGTATTCTACGGGGTTTTCAAATTCTGGTGGTCTTTCCTCAAGGTAACCGCTTTTATACCATGCGTATTTTACAAAATTTTGAAATAGAGAAGATGAGAACTGATTATGGATAAGAGATTGAAGTTTTATTACATTGTCCCGTTGATGCAAGCTGCAATCATAATCGTGGAAAATGACTGTCGGAGAAATGATAAATGGAATTCTTCCAAGGCCTAAAGAAGAATACATCTAATAGTTGTACCATACCTATAGAACCTGCGGGAAATGTTAAAATTCTACAATTTTTTTTCTTTGAAGAACTTCATTGAACGTTGCAGAATTGCAGATTTTGAATTTTGTCTCCTCTTTTGCTTGTTTTACAAGAAAAAGGAGTACAATTTGGGCCTCTAGTGAAACAGAAAATGTTTAAATCAGAAAACATTTTTGCTTTAGCATCCCAGTCGAGAAAAATTACATTAGCACTTTCGAGAACGTGGTTGAAAGAAATTTTTCTTCCGCAAACCAACCATAACTCTGTTTTGTTGCTTGATTCTTGGAGCGGTCAAAATTCTGCAACGTTCAATGAAGTTTTTCAAGAAGGAAAAATTGCAGAATTTTAACAGTTTCTGCAGGTACTACAGGTATGGTACAACCTTTAGATGTATTCGTCTTCAGGACTTGGAAGAATTTCATTCGTCATTTCTCCGACAAAGTCATTCTCCACAATTATGATTGCAGCTTGCATCAACGGGACAATGTAATAAAACTTCAATCTCTTATCCACAATCAGTCCTCATCTTCTCGATTTTAAAATTTAGTAAAATACGCATGGTATTTAAGCGGTTACCTTGAGGAAAAACCACCAGAATTTAAAAACCCCGTAGAATACTAGGGGAGGATGAGGCAAAGATAGTCAGGTAAGACCTTTTCGGATCTAGCGGCCAAACTTGAATATGTATTTGCAAACGAAAAGTATTTTTGGAAAGCCTGGTTATTTGGCTATAATTTTACTATACATTATTTTACTGTAAACTCAAATCCCTACGAGATGCGAATAAAAAAGTTAACAAAAATTTTTAACTATCCTTGCCCCAGCACCGGGCCAAGGATAGTTAAAGAATCCGAATGTTATATAAAAAATCAGTAGATTTTCGTTCTCTTTATTTTATTTGATTTAGACTATTCAATATTGATATCTGAAGTATTAACAATATGTTTTGAACATTTTCTGAATTTCAATTATTGCACTAGCGTCATATTCCTCCCTCGCTCGGAAGACATTTTACTTATTTATTTCCACTTACATAAATAGTTTTTGAGGTAAAAATTTTGTTTAAAAAATTTTTAACGTCAAAAACTCTGCTAATTTTGTTTAAAAAAATCTTTAACTTAAAAAACGATCCTTATACCTCATACAGTATGAATGCAGGCTAATTGTTTATAACATTTTTACACCAATATGTCTTTTTTAAAAAATTATGTAATATATGTTTTCGTAGTGGTTTTTAGCATAGAATCAAATAGCGCTATAAGTTTCTTATAAAAATCGATTTTTCTTCATTTGTTTATAAAAAAATTGTTAAAAAAATATTTTTTTAACATTCAACGACAAAAATTATTATTAGATCCCATGCCAGGATTCCAATAGTTACTTTTATTATATCTGCATTCCTTTGCCTATAGGCATCAATGGATTAATGTAAAAAATCTTTTACTTAAAGCTTTTTTTCAGTTAGTAGAAAATAAATTTGACACAATAACGTTTGACTTTTGTTCCACTGAAGACCATAAAAATAAAAAATTAGAAATATAAGCCTGGATAAAGTGTGGAGGAAAATATTTTTTACAATAAAAAAGGAAAATAATGTTTATAAAAAAGTTAAAAATATATAGTTAAACTGTTTATAATAATAATATATACATATATAATTAATAAATGTATTAGAGGCGAGCAGTAAAGGTCATATCATCTTTTAAAATACACTGATATAGGCGCTACTAAGTTAGCGCAACGCACAAAAACTCGTAGCGCAAACTTCAAAATTTTTTTTCTCAAAAACATCAAAAAGCACTTCTTTAAAAATTTAACCACTTATTAAAGAAGGTTTAAATTTTGAGAAAATAATTTTTTTAGGAAACTCCATGATGTCCTTAGCATATTTTTTTAACAATAAGAAATTATTGTTTAAACAAATTATTGAAAATTTAATTTTTCTTATCTTTTTTTTAATATTATAAAAAATTGACATTTATTTATTTATTTTCAGTTTCTGATTTTTCAAATCTAAATATCTTGCAAAAAAAAATTTTTTTGCATAACTGTTTGGCACAGTTATTTAGTACCCCAAATACTACAAAATTACAAACTTTAAGAAAAATCGGTGATCCACCATTTACTTTTCGTATGGAGCCCTTGATATAAAAATTTTAATTTGTAGTATCAAATACATAGTTATTTGTAGCAAATTTGAATTATTTAAGTCAAATGAATGGAATAATTGGATCTAATAAATATTGCTTTAAATCAATTAGGAAAATTACTTGATTCAGTAATGCATGGATTTTAATTCAAATAAATATTTATTTGAATCAATAAAATAATTTTTTTTAAATAACTAAATATTTATGGGACATTCCGTACGTCAACACGGACAGAGCTCTAAACAAAAATTGATTTGATAAATTTAAACGTTCTGGGGCTTAAAAGATTTATACATTCATGTACTTTAAGATGGGGATGGGCGTTTTTTGCAAATTTTCATTTCCGATTCCAATAGAGCAGTCAAAAGTCAAATGGTCCAAAAACCTCAAAATACTTTTATGAATTAAAAGCAAAAAACGAGGTAAATTATTCTGTAACTCATTCTTTAACAGTTTTTTAAGGTCCCCGAATATAAATCAAAAGTTTTTTTTAAAAAAAATATAAAATGTCGGATCCAATCCCAGGCAGAAAAGTTGGAGATGTGCCAGCACTAACGACCGGCATGGTACCGAACCGGTTGTAAAGTCAGACTTAGGCCGGTACCGGCAAAAAGGTACCGGGCCGGATGTGAAATAAATACCGGCCCAGTACCGGCCCGGTGGTAAATGTGGATTTGTACCGGTACTGGTAGTGTGTACCGGGCCGGTTGATAAAAATATCTGGCCCAGCACCGGCCCGGTACTATAATTTACTTCTGTTTTTATACCGCCGAAGAAGATTTGCCGGTGATAATTTTTTAGCGGCCCAGCACCGGCGTAACACCGGCCCGGTACTGTCATTTCGCTCTGTTTTATACCGCCGAAGGAGATTTGCCGGTGATAATATTTTTACCGGCCCAGCACCGGCGTAGCACCGGCCCGGTACTGTCATTTCGCTTTGTTTTATACTGCCGGAGGAGATTTGCCGGTGATAATATTTTTACCGGCCCGGTACAGTCATTTCGCTCTGTTTTATACCGCCGAAGGAGATTTGCCGGTGATAATATTTTTACCGGCCCAGCACCGGCCCGGTACTGTCATTTCGCTCTGTTTTATACCGCCGGAGGAGATTTGCCGGTGATAATATATTTACTGGCCCAGCACCGGCCCGGTACTGTCATTTCGCTCTGTTTTATACCGCCGGAGGAGATTTGTCAGTGATAATATTTTTACCGGACCAGCACCGGCCCGATACTATAATTTAGTTCTGTTTTTATACCGCCAAAGAAGATTTGCCGGTGATAATATTTGTACCGGCCCAGCACCGGCCCGGTACTACCATTTGGTTTTGTTTTTATACGAACGAAGGAGATTTGCCAGTGATAATATTTGAGCCGGCCCAGCACCCGCCCAGCACAAAAATTTACTTAATACTTTCTACTGGCCCGGTACCGCACCGGTTGAATATTAGTGCCGGCCCGGTACTGCTGCCAGGTGGAATGTCGGTTGGACTTTATAAGCTCACTTTGCATTTACTTTCCATATGCAGGTTTAGGTTAGCGGATGTGGTGTCGACTTTGCAGCCTTAGGGTCCTGAGTTCAATTCCTCGAGTCTTCAGATTTTTCTATAATTGTTTATGTTTCTCTGTTTCAGCCTTTAATATATTTACTGTTTCCAAATTAAAATTAATAATAACATTGATAATAATAATAATAATTAAACAATTAATCAGACTGACATGTAATTTTTTTAACCGGCCCGGTACCACACCGGTTGTTTTTTAGTGCCGGCCCGGTACTGTGTCAGATATTCATCAGTGCCGGCCCGGTACGGTTGCTGGATACCTACCGAAGTTATCATCCGGCAATTTACCGTTACTGCGCCGGTGGAATGAACAGATTTATGCCGGTACTGGACCAGTACCTAGCCGGTTGTGCAGCCGGTAATAAACTGGCACTAAATGCCTTCCAACAATAACCGGGCCAGTACCGCCCCGGTGGACAATTCGGTACCGCCCCGGTACGTATGCCAGATACCTGCCGCAGTTATCATCCGGCAATTTGCTGGTACCGAGACGGTAAAAATTACGGTCTTATGCCGATACCGCCCCGGCACTTATAATCCGCCGTTTGTACCGGGCCGGTACCATCCCGGTCGTCAATTTCTACCTGGGATGTGGCGGACAAAATTCAAATTTTATCAGATTCGATTAAAACTTGTTACTCGGTGGTTTTTAGGGTCGCTGATTACGAATCTACACTACCGGTCAAAATTGAGAGACCATCCATTTTCAGGTGATTGAAAAACATTTTAAAACATAAAATGTATGGAAACTAAAATATTTTGCTTTTTATTTTTTGAAAGATGATACAATTTTGAAAAGACAAGATCTTTTAGAATTCATTTGGCCAATATTTTATTTACATATTTTTCAAAAATTGTAATTTTCAATGTCTTACAAAAATTTGAATAACTTTTAAAATAATGAACGCTTTTTAATGATCTTAAGCTTATTTTAAAGGTCATTTGCTACACTATAAGAATTACTTATTGGCATTAACGTGTAATTTTTTTCTTAGAAAATGCAGGCCTTCAAACTTTGACCAAAAAAGTTCAAAAAATTTAGAACAATTTTTCTGTAGGGGAGTATAATCGAGGTTGGACCACTGTCTAGGTAGGCCATTCGCGTTTTTTTGTCAAGTTCACTAGCGCCACCTACGCCCATGCTTGTCGAAGCTTGTCTTAGTAAAACCTAACTTTTTGTTCAATTACATTTTCGGAGGATCGAAAATTGTGTTTTCTGTGACGTCGGTACAAAAAAAGCTCAAAAAAAGTTTTGTGCATAATGTGAAAAACCATTAATAAAAGATAAAAAACAAATTGAATCGTCAAGGCAAGTATGCAGAAAATTTGTGGGACTCATGGTTGAAAGAAAAACAAAGTAAAAAATCGAATCCCGAAACGTATTTCTTTATGGTTACAACAATTCGGTAATGTTACTTAGAAGGAGTTTACACCGTAAGCCTTAAATATAAGCCTCCGCGCGCATAAACGGATATACCTCCAGGAGCATATATTTGCGCCTGCGCGAACACGTGGTCAAGGCTAACTCTTTCACAACACAGCTGCAGGCAAACACTTTGCGCAGACGCGAGTATATGCTCATGGAGACATATCCGTTTATGCTCGCGGAGGCTTATATTTAAGGCTTACGGTGTAAACTCCTTCATACTGTCAAGGTCGGCCACTATGTGTTTAAAATGCGCAAAGATGAGGACGAGCTACTTCATTTGCAAAAACTGCAATTCTGAATAACTCATAATATAATTGATCATCTTATTAATATTTTTATTTAAGTTTATTAATATTTTAGTGCAAAATTTTTTTTTATTTATATTTATTTTTTTATATTGTTTATTTTTATTATTTTGTTATTTCATTAAGTTAAAAACTGTAAACAATAAAGAATCAATTTTCCGTAACTCCAAACATGTTATTTTATTTTTTAACGATTAATGCCCTTTGAATTTTAAACATGGCCGACCTTGACTGTAAGGACCAACCTCGACTACAAATTTTTTTCTTTATATCTTTATAACTTTTTCATTTTAAAACCAATCAATTTACTTTGTACAGAAAAGATGTTCCTATTAAACAGGACTTTCCAACCATATACTTCAATTGTCCAAATTCATTTTTAAAAAAAAGTTATAGACAAAAGTCAAAAAGGTGGCCGACCTCGACTTTGTTCCCCTACTAAAAACTATTTTAGAAAATATATAAACCATTATATGGTGTAGATTTTTCAAGAAAATTTAATAAAAAAAATACGTTTGAATTTTAAAATTATTTTTCTGTAAATATGAATGTTTCAAATTTTTTATATTTTTTTGGTTCAAGTTTGACCGCCTGCATTTTTTAAGAAAAAAATTACACGTTAATGCCTACACGGAAAAAAAAAGTTCACGAATCTCTCGTGAACTAGTATATCACTTTTGGATGGGACACAAAATTCTTGAAAATCAACAAACACAGTTCGTTAAAATTTCATCAACTCCTTCACTAGAAACATAGTACGGTTTCCGAACTTTTCGTCAAAGTTAACGAAAAATTCAATAAAATAATATTTAGGAGTAAATTTTTGCCCAAAACTAGTCAGGGATCAATGCATCTACATGTTAGCTAACATCTTCTAAAATATCTTCGAAAATTATTTTGTATTCTTTGAGAAATCCAGTGGGAATTATTACACGTATTCATTGAAGTTGGCTGTTTCCACATGGCCTTAATAGTAGAAAATGTTACAGGTGCAAAAAGTCGCGATACTTATAATATGCGTAAATAAACTCGATTGTAAGAAAGCATTCATCAGTGCCACCTAGTGGCATTTTTGGATACTCGAATTCTATACGTGAGAGCATTTTCTCGAATTGAGAGCGTGCGCTGAGCTAGTTTTTAATTTGTAACTCATACAAATATTACTGTCCCAAAATTTTTTTTGGTGGGATAAAAAGGTAATAAAAAAAGGAATATTTTGAGGTAATTTTGAAAAAAATCGAAGGGGGCGTAAAGGGTTAAAAAATAAAAAAAATTTTTTTTAATTTTTTCTATGAAATATAAATTTAAAAAAATTTTGTGATACATAGTTTTAAAGTTTAGGTAATTCTGCAGAAAAAACTCTCTAGGCGTTTTGAAATCCATTCATTCGTTTTAAAGTTATAGCGGTTCGAAAATTATTTTGGTTAAAAGTTTGACCCCTGACAGTTTGGCAACCCCGCATTGCACGGACCGAAAATCATGTTTTTTCTCTTAGTTTTTAGATGTACTAAAAGACATATTTTTGCCAAAAAAAGCTAAGCACTTTTTTAAGTGGCTTTTTTCAGAGAATGTCTCGTATCTGATTACGAATTTGAAGTCACTTTTAAGAAATTCTAGCTTCATACTGTTCTATACTGTAAATTTGTATAAAATTGGACATTTTTTTCAGTCATATGGGATCCACTATTTTCAATTTTTAAATTGTGATTTCAGATTCGTAATCAGATACCTTAAAAAAACCCCGAGTAACACGTTTTAATTATATCTGATCAAATTAAAAATTTTTTTTAACTTATTGGATCCACCATTTTTATTTCTAAAAAGTGATTTCATATTTGTAATCTGTGGCCCCATAAGCTTCCGAGTAATACGTTTTAAGGGAATCGGATCAAATTTTAAAATTTTTTCCGCCATTCTGAATTTTTAAAAAGTGACTTCAGATTCGTAATCAACGACCTTAAAAACCCCTGAGTAACAAGTTTTAATCGAATCTGTTCAAATTTGAATTTTGTCCGCCATATTGGATCCGCCATTTTGAATTTAAAAAAAACTTTAGATTTATATTCGGGGACCCTAGAAACTGTTAAAGAATGAGTTACAAAATAATTTACCCCGTTTTTTGCTTTTAATTCATAAAAGTATTTTGAAATCTTTAGACCATTTGATTTTTGACAGCTCTATTGGCATCGGAAATGAAAATTTGCAAAAAACGCCCATCGGCATCTTAAAGTACATGAATGTAGAAATCTTTTAAGCCGTAGAACGTTCAAATCCATCAAAGCAATTTTTGTTTAGACCTCTGTCCGTGTTGACGTGGAATTTCCCTTATTTATATCAAATATGCAATTATTTTTTATAATTAATTATTTTAATTTAGACCAATATCTCTTTCATTGCGTCAAATAATTATTTATGTAGTTTTTTTTTTTTTTTTTTTTTTTTTTTTTTTTTTTTTTTTTTTTTTTTTTTTTTAGTGTGCTGATGCACACTAAAAAAAATTATCTCATTCAAATAATTTTTTTATCTATATATTTATTTGATTCAAATAACTTGAATTATGCGAATATACGAAAGTTTTTTCTTAGAAAATTAAGGTCAGCAAACTTAGACCAAAAGAATTTAAAAAATTTGAAACAATCTGTAACGTGGCGTTACAAATTCTCCCGCGTCTGCTGCGAATCGGGCGATTGAACCCGGAAACGGCCGAAGGGCCTCGAGGGTGTCAATCGCCAGATTCGCGGACAGACGCGACACTTGTTGCGAATACTCGCTCGTTATAACTTCGTTTCCTTGTGCTACCTATTTCTCGCCGAACGCCAACTCCCTCATCGACGACGGTGCTGATTTTGTGTCGTGATTTCCTCCTCAGAGTACATCACGAGTAAGTTATTGAATAAATTATTATATTACTATAATTGTGCATCTATTCTTTCTCTCCTTTCCCCCCTTTCCCAAATAATAATTGGAATCTCGGGCAACCAATTATAAATTGGCGCCCAACGAAAAAACCCATCTTTCCATTCCTTTTTCTGTAAAGAACATTTCCAGAAATACCTTTTTTCAACATCTTTGTTTTGTTGAAGATTCCCAAAGTAACTTTTCATCATCTTTGTTTTGTTGAAAATCCCAGAAAATTCATTTTTCTTTCATCATTTTTTAATTGTTGAAAATCCCACCTGTCACCTCATGGTCGCCTAACCTCGAAATCAAATCTTTCTTTTCCTGTTTCCCATATTTATTTGAACATATTTATATTTTGTGCATGAAAATTATTGAATATTATTGATTTTTAAACATTCCTGTATTGTATATTTTGGACAAATGTGACAAATTTTCTTTGTGACGGACGCAGACAATGACAAATTTCTGTGAAAAAGTGCGCGAATAAACCGGTAAAAATTAATCGTGAAAAATTCTTGGAAATCGTGACTAAATTCGTGAAAATTAGCGAAAATTAGTGAAAATTATAAAAAAGAACAGAAAATAAAGTCGAGAATTAAAAAGAAAAAGTGAATTTATCGATTAATTTTGGAGAAATTTAGTCATAGAAAGACGCCGGTAGCATTTGTTTTGATTGTCAAGGACGCGTACAGTGTATCGTAAGGTAGTAACGAAAAACGTAAACACTACAAATTCGCGAATTAATCGAGAAATAATTCTGTCAAAATTTAGAAATAAAATTCGTATACACGGTGTCAAATAAAAATTAACTAAAAGTAAGGAAAATATAATTACGGAAAATCGATACTTATACCGGGTGTCTCTAAAGTTTAAACTTAGAATAAAAACTTAGAAAATTTTGACACGGTAACCGACTTATACCGGGTGTTACATTTTAATCGGTAGTGCGATAAAATATAAATTCAATTGTAAAATATCGTTAAAAGTTAATAACAATTAATAACAAATTAAAATTAATTGTTGATAATAAGTGAAAATTCTTTTTTTTTATTTTTTCGATATTTAACAGTTAGGAGAAATTAAAACTTTTTTTTGCAACGTATACCGGGTGTGTTAAAAATATCAATTTAAACTTTTTAGTGTTTTTCGGAAAACAAACGAGTAATTAATTTTTTTTAAGCACAAACTAAACAAATACGGTAAATTCCGAGAAAATTAAGGAAAAATTAGTTCGAACATTTGTGATTTAGCAATAGAAACTTTTTCTCACATAGAGTTCATGACGTTGAACAAAAATTAGCGGAAAATTTTTTCTTTTTTTTTGCGCAAGTTGAAATTTGTAGAATAGATTAAATAACGATTTAAACTTATTTCTAATTTTTCAAAATTGAATCACAAATGCATTCGAGACGTGTTTTACGATCGGATACAAGAAGAATTCGAGAAAACAAAGAAACAGAAAATATGTCGGGAAGCGAAACGGAAACGGCGAGCGAAACAGATTTTGAGGAAAGAGACACAGCGAGCGGGACTGCCCCTCCCACACACAAAAACCCCTCCTCACAAGACAATGCGAAATCAAAAGATTTAGAAGCCACGATAGAGAGACACGAGACAATGATTCGTGCTCTCGTTGAACTCGTGTCCCCCGAAAAATTGAAATTTTTTAATTTCAACCAATCTATGCCCCTCCCAAGCGGAACAAGTAAACGAGCAGCAACAAGGATCGTATCCTTGCCAGAATTAAGGGCAAGAGATACGAAGAACGCGAGTGTGCAGTTGATGCATTCGGAGAACAGTAACCAAGGGTTACCAGATGCAGGCCCAACAACTGTACCAATAAACCGCGGTATATTACAACAGTACTTTGCCGGAATAAAGAAAACTGTTGGAAATATAGGAAAAGTACCGGAAAATGTCACAGAAAATTTTGTAGGAAAATTATCGGAAAATGTGACGGAAAATTTTCCAGAAAAATCAAAAGACGGAACTTTTGATATTAATTCGTTTTTAGGGACAAATAATCAAATGATTAAAAGTAGGAACGAATTAACATCATACGATGAAATGCTGAGAAACGAAAGGGAAAAATTGCGCGAAAGAGAAAAACAATTAGAACGCGAACATAGGAAAATTGTGCAAGAAAAATACAAACCCTCGGCACATAGTTCGGTAAATAAAAATAATCAAAATAACAGCGATTCAGAAGATATTTTTCGAGCGAAAGTAGATAATTATTTCGACTCAGAAAGACGCGAAATCAGGGAAAAAAGACAAAATGTCCAATTTAAAAATAAGAGTAAAAATCAAGAATTTAACTATGAATGGCCGAACGATAGTGAAATAGAAATCGAGTACGAACCCAAAAAGTTAGGAACTATTCCGAAAGGAAAAAATATTGATTTTCATCGGGAATTAAAAGAAAAATCAACCGAGTTAGATCAATTTAAAAATGAAATATCGATACGCGATAAGGAATTAGATCAACTTAGATTAGAATTAGACCGAATGAAAATTGCGATGGAAAATTTAGCAAAAAATAAAAATCCAAATTTCGAAGAAAATTCCACGGAAAGTACGGAAATTGAAAATCCAAATGCCCAAGTCGACAACAATCGACATTTTGGAAATTTCAATAATCATTTTCCATTTGGCATGTTACAAACACCTTTTCAAATCATGTCAAATTGGCCAGTTAAATTTCGAAATAACAAAACGGACAACCCAGTACAATTTTTAGAAGAATTGTACAGATTTATGCAAGGTTACGAGATCCCAGAAAATCGTGTATTAGAAAATATTGACGCAGTATTAGCGGACGAAGCCCTTGAATGGTGTAGGACGGTTAGAAGAAATTGGTTTTCTTTACAAGATTTTCGTGAAGAATTCGAAAGAACATTTTTAGACGAAAAGTTCTATGAGGAAATCAACACGAAAATAAAATATTGCAATCAGAAAGAGGGAGAAGAAATTCAAACTTTTCTGATTGGAATAAGACAATTATTCGGAAAATTATACCCGAGAAAAGGTTTACACTGGGAATTACGTCGTGCATATGAAAATTTGCGTCTCGAGTACAAGATGTACATTCAAAGAAACGATTTTAAAACGTTTGAGGAACTAGAAAGTTTAGGCAAAGAATTTGAAATTGAAGGAAATAAATCTAAAATTCGCGGACAATATTTGAAAATAACAACAGATAAAAACTCGTCTAATGATAAATCGAAGCAAACTACGAATCAGAGAAATAACGGAAATTCTAGAGGGTTTGGTGGAAACTCGCGACTTCAACCAAATTCCTCTGGAAATTACCCTCAAAGAAATCAACCAAAAATCACTTTTCCACCTGACGCAACTACAAACGGTAATAATGGTCAGAAAATGTTAGAAGGTCCTTCCGGTGACAATAATAATCCAAGTAATAGTCTTCAAGTGGCAGTACCAAACCGTTCACCTGCAGGGAATGGTAATACTTCCAAGACAAACCAAAGAGAGAAAAGTCAGACGAAAAAATGCTACGGTTGCGGAAAAGTAGGTCACATTCGTAGAAATTGTAGGTCAGAAAATCAGGGAAACGAGTAGAGGGGGTACTGAAAAATCCAGTATCCCCAAAAAATATTGAATTACCAGAAAGTTGCGAAACGTTGGTGAAAGATTTACGATTTTTCACTAACATCAAATACCAGGATACAATTTTCGAAACGTTAATCGACACAGGCGCTACGAGTTCATTTTTTGGTCACAAAAATTGGGTATATTTACAATTATACGGTGTGAAATTAGAACCAGTGAAAAATAAACTCGTGACAGCAGCCAACGGTGAAAGTTTACAAATTATAGGAAAAGTTACGATTCCGGTAGAAATCGGTAATATAACAAAAAATTTGACTTTCAGAATTGTCCCAGGTTTAAGGCAATATGCAATCTTAGGAATAGATATGCTACGCGAATTAGGAATGAAATTAGATTTCGAATCTGACACTTGGTCAATAAAAGATTTACCTAACATACGTTATAAAATCGGAGATAGGGAAAATAGAAAAGTCGAAAAAATGGTCGAAACTGTTTTGACAAAACAAGAAGTGGGATCACAAACAGGTTGGTCCAGTTCACAAAGAGAAAATAGGAAAAATTTCGCGCAAAAATCCCAAGAAAATAGGTCAAAATCGGAAAAAAATTTTGAACCAAATCTCGAGAATAAAAAAGAGAATGTAGGAAAATTCGAGAAAAAATTCGAATTAGGAAAATTAAAAAGTATCGATACAGAAAATAGTAGGAAAATTACGAAAAATTTTCCAAGGGTCGACCCGAGTAATGAAAGAAAAATTCCAAAAGTTATACCAAGACAATCCTTACAACAGTCGAAAACACCTACCCAAATTCCAATTCCAAAACCCCGAAAAATTCCTCCAAAATTAATGGATATCCCATTATCAAACAGATTTGATAATTTAGATATGGACTCAGGTCTTGACGAGACTGACGAACCATTTTTGTTCCCAATCGACAATCCCCGTAAGAAAAATTGGTATAAAAAAGCGGAATTGAATAAGAAAATTAGAGAACGCGAAATAAGTTCGAAAATTTGGCGAAAACGAGAAAATTCGCAAAAAACAGAAAATGAAAAATCGGAAAAATTAAAATCGAAAAATCATATAGCGATTAAATCGGAAAAATTAGAATCAAAAAATTCTATGGCGATTGGAAATAAATTTCGTATACCGTTAAATACGAAATGGATTAATTTCAAAAACAACGCGATAATGAACAACAATATTCAGGAAAAAATATTGCGAGAATCGAGTTGTTTAGATGAAACCGAATTTTGTTCAGGACTAGTCGAATTGTCCGAGGAAGAACAAGAATTTTTAAATAAATTTTTAAAAATTAGATTACCACCCCCCGAAGAAATTTTGAAAGCTACTCATTTGACTGAACACGTAATTGACACGCAGGGTACAGCTCCGATAAAACAGAGATATTATTATGTATCGCCGAAAATTAAGGAGGAAATAATTAAGGAAATTAAGAGAATGTTACGCGAGGGTATTATCGAGCCAAGTAATAGCAATTGGTCGAATCCAATTGTTATGATAAAAAAAGCGAACGGTACGTATAGGTTATGTCTGGACTTCAGAAAAGTAAACGCAGTAACGAAAAAAGACCTATATCCGGTTCCGTTAATGGCCGAAATTTTAGATATGCTCAGAGCCGCGAAATATATCTCTAAGGTCGATTTGAAATGGGCATATAATCAAATTCCGTTAAGTAAGGAGTCTAAAGAGAAGACGGCCTTCGTTGTCCCTGGGTTTGGAATGTTCCAGTGGAAACGTATGCCGTTTGGCCTCTGCAATGCTCCTGCAACATTCCAACGCTTAATGGATAAAATTATTACGCCCGATCTCAAACCTAAAGTTTTCTGTTATCTAGACGACATAATTATAGTTTCTCAAACGTTTGACGAACACATAAAATATCTGGAAATAGTATTAGGAAAATTAAAAGAAGCAGGGTTGACGGTTAATTTCGAAAAAAGCGAATTCGGTTGTGCGGAGGTAAAATACCTAGGTTTCGTAGTTAACGAAAGAGGACTACAAATCGATGACGACAAAGTCAAACCCATTCGAGAATTTCCGACTCCTAAAACTATTAAACAGTTACAACGTTTTATAGGAATGGTTAGCTGGTACCGACGATTTATCCCACATTTCGCTGAAATAATTGAACCGTTACAAAAATTACTACGAAAAAATGTAAAATGGGCTTGGACCGAAAATCAGGAAATAGCAAAATTAAAACTGATCGAGTTGTTGACGACAGCTCCGATCTTAAACCCCCCTGATTTTCAACACACTTTCATACTAGAAACTGACGCAAGTGACACGGGTCTAGGCGCAGTTTTGACACAAGACATTGACGGTAAAAACGTAGTAGTTGCTTACGGAAGCAAAAATTTGAGCGAAACGGAAAGAAAATATTCGACAACTGAAAAGGAGTGTCTCGCGGTGAAAACGTTCATAGGAAAATTTCGACAATATTTAGAAGGTAGTCATTTTAAAGTAATAACTGATCACATTGCTTTAAAATGACTACACAATTTGAAAAATCCTACAGGACGCTTGGCGAGATGGGCGTTGGAACTATCGGAACATGATTTCGAAATAATATATCGAAAAGGTTTAGCGAACGTAGTCCCAGACGCGTTGTCAAGAATATTCGAAGAAAAACAAGAAATTTCCGAGGAAATAAAAATCGAAAGTAGCGAAAATCAAACAGAAAATAATTGGTACGAAACGAAAATGAGATTAGTAAAATCAAAACCTCACGAACACGAGAATTGGCGAATTCGAGACAAACAATTATATTTTCATAGACCCGATCCATTAAAATCTCCCCTCCTTAAAGATGAAAATCCATGGAAATTAGTAATTCCAGAAAATTTGCAAAAACAAGTCTTAACCGAAAATCACGATAATATACAGGCAGGACACTTAGGTGTAGAAAAAACTTTCCATCGAATTTCCGAAAATTTTTTTTGGCCAGGAATGTATACGGATATCGTGAAATATATTAGAAGATGTAAAGTTTGCCAACAGACGAAGGCAACCAACAAACCGAAAATAGGACCAATGGGGAAACGAATAATAGAGGAGCCATGGACGATGGTTGCCTCCGACATTATAGGCCCATTACCTATTTCAAAAAATCGGAACAAATATATTCTAATATTTACAGACTTATTCACAAAATGGGTAGAAATTATTCCAATCAAGAAAGCGGATGGAAAAACAATTGAGACCGAATTTCACAAGAAAATTATTTCGCGATGGGGAACTCCCAGAATTTTAATTTCGGATAATGGCACCGAATATGCCAACAAAGTTATCAGGGAAATGTCGGAAAAATTTGGTATCAGGCATTCGTTTACACCGAAATACTACCCACAAGCGAATCCCACGGAAAGAACGAACAGATCCATCAAAACGGCAATAAAAGCTTATTTAGACAAAGAGCAAAATCTTTGGGATAAAGATATCGAAGACTTGCAATTTGCCCTAAATACAGCAAAACATTCGTCGACAAAATTTTCACCAGCTTTCCTCAATTTAGGTCGTGAACTTCAACCTTTTCAAACACTGAAAAAAGATTTCGAAAATCCGGACGAAATTGAATTTCAGGAAGTTGACAAGTGGACAGAAAGACTGAGACGCTTACAAATTATTAAGGACGAAGTTCAGCGAAATTTAGACAAAGCGAACGAAAATCAAGCGAAATATTACAATTTGCGTAGACAAAAATTAGAATTCGAAGTAGGAGATCTAGTCTGGAAAAAAGACAAATCCCTTTCCAGCAAAGATTTAGGAATTGCGCGAAAATTGAAAAAAGATTTCGAAGGCCCATATAAAATCATTCGAAAAATTTCCCCCACAATGTACGAATTAGGGAAAATTCGAGGAAAATCGATAGGATCATGGAATATAAATGATTTGCGAAAATTCGTGGAAAACGAAAATTAGAGAAAATTTTCAGGAAAATGTAAGAAATTCCTAGAAAATCAGGGAAAAATTTAAAAAAAATTGAAAGGAAAATAGGAAAATTAAGTTGGAATTATAAGAAAATTCCATGAAAATTGCGTAAAAATATTAGGAAAATTAAGTGAAAATTTAAAGAAAATCATAGGAAAATTTTATAAATTTTTATGAAAAGTAACGTAAAAATAAACAAAAACTAATTATCATTTAGTTAAAATTAATATTAAAGGAAATTTTTAAGAAACATACAAGAAACAATTTTTTTTCTCTTCTTTTTTTTCACATTGACGAATGTAAAATAAAAAGGAAAATGTTATTTTGTTTTTTAGAAAATGGCAGCTTACGTTCAACCATGGAAAAATTATGCTAAAGAACAAATACGAATTGCAAGAGAGTCAAGGAAAGACAATATCGAGAAAAGCATCGAAATAATGACAAAGGAAATCGCCACAGAAGAAAGGTTACTACAAATGAAAAAACAAAGGGTACAATCGTTAAAACTCTCTCTAACGGAAATATTAAGGGAGATCGAGATGGGTTCATGGGAAGACAATACTGACAGCGACGACTCGAGCGAAGAGGAATACTCAAATTCAGATCCAGAAACGGTAATCGAAAAATCGCGAGATAACGCTCTTAAAAGAATTGGAGAAAACTCACGAGAAATTGCCGTCAACGTAGCCGACGAAAATCTACAAGAAAATATTGTCGAAAATCCACAAGAAAATATGGTCGAAAATGTGCAAGAAAATATTGTCGAAAATGTGCAAGAAAATATTGTCGAAAATGTGCAAGAAAATATTGTCGAAAATCTCGAAGAAAATCTACAAGAAAATATTGGCGAAAATTTCGAAGAAAATTTACAGGAAAATCTTGACGAAGATCTCGAAGAAAATGTAGCATTAAACATCGAGGAGAATAATATCGAGGAACATAACGCCGAAGTACATGACATCGAGGACAATATCATAGGAGAAAATTTGGAAGAAATGATCGAAAATAACACCGAAGAAAACGAAAACAGAGAAATACTCGAAGAGGAACAAAATCCCAACGTAATGATCGACTTTAATGAACATACATACTCACACGCAAAGGAACAAGAAGTATTTCTAGGCATGATCAAATGGAGATGCGACCGTCGAGCTAGAATCGAGAGAAACTGGGCGGAAAAAGAGTTGCAAGAAAGAGAATGGAAGGAACTAAAAGAAAACAACCAAAGGGAATTGGAAGAATTCCTCAAAAACCTTAACAATATTTAAGAATTAGAAACAAAATCAAAGTCTACTAAGAAGTCCAACTTTATTTTTCTCAATTAAGCAAAATTTTTTTTTAAAAACGACAGTTTGGACAAATGCAATATTTAGTTTATCTTCATTAGGCTCATGATACATATTTTCTGATTTTCTTTATTATTCCTTCGTAAAGAAATTTTTCTCATTACCTTATTATCTTTTCTTTTTCTATATATGTCACAAAATCAATTACACTAAAACATGTACACAAAATTAGTACAATAAACGACTAATTGAAATAAAATCCAATTTATATTTTTCTTTTCAAACATTAAACAAACTGAAACAGTAAAATTAAAATAGATAGATTTTTTGTTTATTTTTTTTTAGGAAAAATATTTTTTTTTTTATGAATGTTACAGGAAAACATGGAGATTTGGACTTGCAGATTCTGCAAAAAAGAGGTGTGGAAAACGCATTATCTACTTCATGACGAGTTTTGCGGAAAGAAAAATCTAAAAGCACGAGCGGGATACTGCGAACCATCGGAAAACGGGAGAAAATATGTACGAGCCAACTGGGACAAACGTCGAGAGGAATTAAAGGAATTTTTGGAAAACAGCCTAGCAGAAAATTCAAGAAAATTAACGGAAAATAATAATAAAGGAATATTTGAATTTATAAACCTCGATACAAATTACGACGAATTGTCGGATAATTAATTGAAAACTTTTTTTTGTAAAGGGTTACACTTCGTTCCGTTTAGGGGAAGGGGGTCGCTGAATATAAATATGACGTCAAAAACTTGAATCTCAGTTTTAACCAATTTTCTTCATACAACTACCAATTTCTTGATCAATAAGCTTTGTTTTCCGTATATAATTACGCACTATTATGTATATCAGCCTAAAAAGAACAATTAAACATTTTTTTATAATTCACAGTCGCATTAGCAGGATTGTACCGTGTTATATTAGCTCTAACTATATCCTCGCCCCGTGGGGGAAAAGGAGCCCATATTTCAATTTTTCCTAATTTTTTGTGAAACGACGTGAACCTAATTGAAAATAAATACGATATTCGTGTTTAGCAGGGAATTCTACTCCGGAAAACACTTACGTAAATAAATATTCGGAAGCACTAATAAAGAAAAAACCGCTGCCAAGTTTATATTTTTTTTTTATAATTTTGGTGCTCATTTCATGAACACTTTACTTCCTCATGGAGATAAAAATAATAGAAATATATAAATAACTTTTTATAAATATGGTAAAAGTCATTGAATTTTGAGTCAATCAATGTATTTTTAAATACCCGACAAGATAGTTATAATAATTTAATAGTTAAACAAAAATTTTCACTCAAAAAAGTTGAGAAAATGTCATTTTCCACAATTTTTGGTTTTAAAATGCTAATAATTTCGAAATTTATTATCGAATTAGGATCAAAAATAGGTCAATCGAAGCGTTTTTTAATGATCTACAAGTTGATAACGATAATTTTAAAGTTACTTCTACGTTTTTCAACAAAATTTTCAAAAAAGTTTTATTTTCCAAAATTTTTGATTTTTAAAAGTTTAATAACTCCGGTTAATATGGACGAAAAATGTTCAATTAGGGCTCAAAAGATGCGTCTAAAAAAACTCTACAAAATCATGGAAAAAGATTTATAGGTGTCCTAACATTTTTTTAAAGTTATGGGCAAAAAACGTCTTTTTGCAAAATTAAAAATAAAAAAAAATTTAGTTAAACTTTTGTTTCCTCATAAAGGAAGCCTTATAGTGATGTCGATTTCCGAATTTTTTAGAATCAATTATTTTTACAAATTTTCAAGTGTAGTATATATAATTCGTCGAGAGGAACAAATGTCCGGATGTATGTGTGTATGTATGTGTGTGTGTGTATGTGTGTATGTATGTGTGTGTGTGTATGTCATCGATTCTTGTGGACAAATTTTCTCTTACATGTCTTGACGGATTTTGATAAAATTTTGTAGGTGTATTAGTCACGAATACCAAAAATCAGACAGAAGGATTTTCAAAAATATCTAAAAAAAATTTTTTTCAACAATTTTTTAATTTTTGAAAAAATTAATTTTTGGATTTTTTAAAATAACTTTTTTCTATATTAAAATTTTTATTAATTCTTGGCAAAATTGGATTCCTGACATAAAAAAGAATTGATTCATGTATGGTATTCATGAATTCATGTATTCATGTATGGTACATATTCATGTATTTATCATGTATATAAAGTATATATTTTATTCAAATTTATAGAATTAATAAATATTTTAATTTTTCACAAAAAATTGAAATTTTGTATTTTTTGAAATTTTATCTTAACACTTTAAAATAATTATTCTAAAATAAAAAATTAAACGATTGGTATATATTATATTAAGGAAGCTTAATGATCATGAAATGAACAACTTGTTATTAATATATTAGAAAGTACTCTCACTTTATGTCCGCAGGTGAGATCTACAATAAAAAAAAAATCAACCCAAAAGCTCTTCATGATTTCGAGATATTTATGAAAATGTGATGTTTACACACACACATAAGGAATGACATTTTTTAAAAATTTCATTTTTGAACTCCTGAGGTCAAATAACATAAAGATATGTCAAAAAATCGAACTCGAAAAATTTTGGTATTACAATACTTCCTCTATGAGGAAGTAATAATATGATAAAACGTGACAAAGATTTCGTTGACATTTTTCAAAAACAGGTGTTTTTTAAAAATAAACTCCTAACTTCGCAAATGGTAGCAGATTGACTTCCAATTTTTACTATCATCTTTTGGTGTTAAGACGCAAAAATATCATGAATGACGCGCTAATTTCAACAAGCCGTTTAAGCAATACAGCCACTAACTATCCTTACCCCATCCTCCCCTACTATCAAACCTGTGCATCAGAGTGTGATGTTTGCAATAATGCAGGAATGATAAAATGTGCTTGGTGCACAAGATCTTTGTGTTTCACCCATTTCTATTTAGAATATCACTACTACAAGCAGCACATCAGATAAGATTGCTTGTGCGTACGTTGCGATGTTTTGATATTAAAAAAAACCATTAACAAATTCAAAAAATAAAAACTAAAAAAAAATTTGAAAAATAAAAACTTTAAAAAAATATAATATAATTTAACAAAAGAAGTGCTTAATCTTACCGTAAACCTCTACGTGGTGCACTTTGGGGTCGTGACATATGCATAAAACATTCACCAGCTGATTACGGAAGTTTAAAATCGTTTTTTAAAATTATTTTTAAGATCTTGAGTTATTAAAATCATTTGCCCGATCATCTCAATATCTTGTATTTCAATTTTTAAAAATCTGGCCTTAAATTCGTTATTAGTAACCTTAAAAACCCTTAAATACCCTTAAATACGCTCGGTGGGCGGACCAAGGGCACTTGCGGTTCGCGCCCATTAGCCTGGGATTTTTCCGGCACGTGAGATAATCTGAGCGGGAGGTTTGACGTCGAGGTATAATGATGTGCACTGTCGATTATTGTTCAGTACACACCGTTAAAACTCGGCTGTCGATAAACCGGTTGTACTTAGGAGAGGTTTTCTACAGTTTCCCTCTCCACTGGCGAGAAAACCCATTAGACGGCGGGTGGTCCAGGCAAATGCGAGTACTCCTAACCTCAAAAAGTCGTTCTGTAGAAACGCAAAACTAGTTGGTATATAAGAGTGTGTGTTCTGACAGTTGGCCTAGCTTCAAGTCATTTAAGAAAAAAAAAGATTTGTAATCAGCGACCCAAAAAACCCTTAGATACCAAATTTTATGAATTTTCGTCAATTTTTTTAATTTTCATTCTGTCATATTGGATCTGCCATTTTAAGTTTTCTAAATCTAACCTCACATTTGTAACATCAGCGACCCCGAAAACCCCTACATACCATGTTCTATAGAAATGTTTAGTTTATATGTGACTGAATATTATTATGCGTTTTTAGGGGTTTTTTAACTTTAGAGGGTGGGGGTTCACCCCCTAAATCATCGTCGTTTCGATCTCTTACGTATCTCTTATTTTGGCTAGTTCTAAAAGTATTCCAAGTTTTATTTTAATTGGCGTGTAACACTTGCGTAGGTTTACTTGTAAGCCTCTCGGCTACGCAATCGCTATGGAAAAAATTTCTTTTATCCGCATATATCTCTTTCCCATGTAGCACGTAACATTACAGTAATATTACCCGGTAAAATTACTTTAATATTATGGTCATATTGAAATGTCCGCCTGATGGTAATATTACCCATCAATATTATAGTAACATTACAGTAATATTATACAGTAATATTTCTGTTACATTACTGTAATATTACATACTTAAGAAAAAATTGAAAAAAGTTTATTTTCTAACGATAAAATAAAAAAAGTGTCTTGTTTATTCATTAGATATGCATTTCACAACCATTTTCATTTGCTTTACAGGCTCGTGTAATATTACTGTAATTTTAAATTAATTTTGCTCTGAAAAATTTAATTTAACATTACTGTTATTTTACTATATTTATTTACATAAGCTACTGAATTAAAATATAAACATAAATAATAATAATGCAAGAATAATAATAATAGACAGTATTATTAATTTATAATTACTTAATTTAATTATTAAATTATTAGATTATTATTCTTAGATTTCTTATTCTGATTTTGTACAAAATAAAAAAGAATTATTTCAATAAATGTTATAAATAATTTTATACAAAGCTAGAATTACACATTTTAATATATAAAACTTTGAAGTATAGTATTATAATCTTAATGACTTTTACTTCAGGCTAGGATCGATGCGCATGACAGTAGTGACGTCATCCACACACACAGGTCTATAGTAGTAGTGGTACGGATTACTACTTTTTCGAGTAAAAAGTTCACTCTTCAATAGAAAAAGTTGTTTCTTGCAGAAGTAATTAGTAGAATTTTTACAAGTAATATTTACAACATATCGAATGTAAAAAATAATACAAAATTTAATAAAATTTACAATGACGATGTAAAAATTAAAATTCTTAAAGCAATTTTTAAAAGTGACTAATGTAATAATTACTATAAGTAATTTTTACTACCAGTAATAGTAATATTTACTTCATGATAAGTACATTTTACTATGAATAGTAATTTTTAATATAAAAGTAGAATTACTTTTACTAGAAACTCGGCACCATTTTTCTCCTTGTATACTCGCAGAATATACTTTTTACAATGTTT